TATTTCTAAGCATTTGCTGAAGTTTTAAAAGCATGATTCAGCATTTTGCTGAAAAAGTTATCAATGCAAGTAAAGCTTATATCCGAAGCAAAAGTGATAAAAACCATCAAGAAGTTATTTTATGAGTAACTGAGTTATGGTATCAGATTACAGGATCTGGATTTAGGAGACATTCATGAATCACTTCTTTAGAGTCAGCTGGAAGACGAGCATGTCGAAGGTTAATGCAATTATTAACAAATGGGGCTTGCTTTGCATTCCCTAGCATCTGGTCAGTTGCTCTGCTGCTTTCAAATGTCTTCAATTCCCTTGACAACATTAAATGAAATACCAAGTCTGTCAAAGGAAGGAGAACTGATAGGAAGAAATGTATCTTATTTGCAGATATCAACTAGTTAAGAGTTACCTAACAGAAGATATGGTCATAATTGATTTATTGGGTTGGGGAAAGGACACCCTCCCAACTGCAATGAATCACTCTTTTTTTAAAACTTTCTTATTTTTAGCCTCTTCCTTCTGCTGTTTTTATTCAGATGAAAAATTCTTTGTGACAAGATCCAAGATTATACAGTTAGAACATACTTACAAAGTTATCGGTCCATTCTCAAATAAGGAAATGCTGTGAGTGTGCATGTGTTTAAGCGGGGGGGGGGGGGGAGATAATATTTCGACCTCTGCATTAAAGCACAGCATCCTTTCCACCTGCTTCTCTAGCAGAGGCCCTGAAACAGACACCCTCTACTTAACATATTACTGACAGGATGATGAGAAGGCTCCTGTCAGGTACAGACCAGCTGGGTGTTGGAGACAAAATGCACAGCCCCAGCTGACTAGTTAGAGGAAGTCTGGAGAGGTACAATTACAGAGGCATATGACAAGCCTTCATGCCTGACTGACTTGAGAACCAATGACATGGCATTAAACAGCAATCCTTCCCATCCAGTGGTCACAAAACAGCAATAAGTCAACTGATGCACTGTTGTAAAATCATGATTTATTCCTTTGCTTTGAATACACAAGACTACAGCATGATGTTCTGGTAGAGTACCACAGCAGGTTCACTTGGGGCCCAAACTTCTCAGGCCTGTCTACAACAGGCATAAAATCAATGCTCTAGCACTGCCTTTCTGAAAACACTTCTCACACTAGTGTGAGGATAGGAAAAAATACTGAATTCAGACCCAGAAATATTAAAGCTATTATATATAATCTCATAGCTTTAAGAGGTACAGTATACATACAGTATGTACATGTGTTATGTGAGGGGGCAGCATAAAAATGTTGTAAAATAAATAAATGTGTTTTTAAGTAAATATTCATGATACACAACATTTAGTTACAGTTAAAAAGTAATAAACGCAAACATGCTAACAACTGGGAAGCTGAACAGTAGTGGAATTCCTCATAGTTTTTTAAGCAAAATCTGCTGCTTTCCACCAGCAACCCCTCAGAGTCCTCAGTCTTTTCCTCTTTTTAGTTTGTTTGCCTAGCAAGTTTTGTGCTTTATTATCACAATTTAGTAGCACAGAGTTGCTAGATGTAAAGAACTGTGGATTAGAGTACAGCACTTTTGCACTCCCCTCCCCCAGAAAAAAAAGGAGAGCTTGAAAAGGAGAGAACTTGAATTATGTGTTTTGATGTTGTTCCTACTGCCCTTAGATAGTGAACCGAAACTGAGCTGATAACTTGGAGGTGACATCACAATTCAGTCTGCATGAACTGTCATAAACACTTGGTATTAAGTTAACCTCCAAAGATAAAGGACAACTCCCTCAACAAAAGAAGGGAATTGATAACACTCTTTTCTAGAAAAGTAGCCTACATAAAAAAGCAAAATTCCTAGCCTTACCAGGAAATATAGGGAAAAATTCATTTCTCTGTAGAGATAATACACTCTTATTTAAATATCCCAGATCTATACAAAATATTAAAAATAAGTGATAGCTTTAGGAAGCAATGTGCAATTTTATATTTAATATGAATTTTTCTGTATTTATCTTTCCTTAAAAGTGAGAATACTTTGTATTGAAATCTCATCTGTACCTTGTCAGGAGAATGAAAAGATATGGCTCTTTTCCCATTGGGTCTCGGGTTGTATGTGGGGCTGGAGATCAGGCAAGGAGAGTCCATTCTTCTCCTGCCCAGTGCATTTCTTGCCATCTTTCCAAGGCTGAAAAGCTGAGCATCAGCTACCAAGGGGTGTCATGTGAGGTGGGACGGAGGCAATTCATCCCACAGATAAGTCCTATGAATTGGAGAACTGGCAGTTACAGCCATTCACCCTCTGCTTCTTTTGCTGATCCTCCCAACCTCCTGCCAACCTCCAGCAGTAGCAGAAGATGTGAGGAGAAATAGCTCGTTGCCCACGAGACAAGCTTCATGGGTTTGGAGACCTAGCAAATACAGGGGTGAGCCCAGGTGGAAAAAATGGACTCTTCTACTGCCAAAAGTAGAACTGCCCAAACAACAGGATCCAGGCCACAGAGGTGAAGAGGAGCTCCTGTATTAGCCCAAGTGGCCACTGGAGCTGGGCAGATCCTAGCCCTGACAGCATTATCACCAGAATCACTGAGGAGGTGTCACAGATTGTACAAAAGCAAGACTTTTGACAGGAGAAGAGGGAAAACAGTCTTTCTAAATTGGAACTGCTAAGTAAAAAAGTAAGCTGCCTTGACAGTGGGCTGAAGATGAAACTAAGGGAACATCCTCTGAAAATGGTTAAAGGAGCATCTTCATGCTGTAGTTATCAGGGCAATGAGGATGAGCTCCCAGACTGTAAACCTATTAGCTTATTTTAATGTAACCTAAGAGTATAATTGATTGACTGCACTGTTGACCACAAATTGGCAACTCTTTGCAGGATTTTACTGATTTAAGCTTTTAAACTCTGCTCCAGTTATCAAGGAAATGAAAAGATAAAAACACCCTCAAGTCAACATATTCATATAATACTTTGGGGAACAAGTGTTTTGCCATTGCATTCTTCTGGGATGTTTTCTTTAACTTCCTAGACTAGCCCACACCCATACTGATCAAGTCTGAGCTTGCTTAGCTTATTTTCAAGGTCTGCCATGATTGGCCAGGTGCTGCCAGTAATCCTATACAGGTAGTCCCCAGTTTAAGAACAGGTTCCGTTCCCAAGGTCTGTA